CATGCTTGTTTATTCTGAATCGATTTAATTAACTAATCTGTCCGCTTTTTAATAAGTTTTCAAACGCTGCCTTAATTAATATTGCTGGAAAGCATGCTTATAGGATCTCAAGTTGTCCGTTTAAAAATCGTTTGCTATTTTACTGCATTCCTGATCAATAATAGATACGATGCTCATAGGACATCACTATTATGCGCCTAGGCACGCCTGTAGGGGGATTAAAAAATTCTGCAACTGTAAAACTATGTTCTGTTATCTGTGACTGCTCACAGTCAACAGGTCTAAAATCAGTAGGCAAGCTGAATAGGCCTTTGACACTTTGGTCCTAGTTCAATAATGAATACTCTCTGCTCAGCTAGATATCATGTTCTAAGGGTTTCTCTTAAATACCTGAAGCTATTGTTTGAGGCGTGCACTTATTTGTTCTGTCTGTGGAGGGAAATGTGAGCCTGTAATTGTTCCCTTTAAATGCAGTCCTAATTGATTTGGTTGACGCTTAGACTTTTCTCCTTTAAACACCATAGGATGGTCTAGAACTACCTAAATTAGAGGTCCTAAATACCTCCAATGCCACAAGGAAGGGACGGGTAGTGCACGCATAGGATATCTTTCGAGGTTGCTAGAACGCTTTAGGTTATGACCAAGGGGTAAGGGTGTACTGTGGGCCGGGCCCAGCCCGGGATCGCACCGGGACCGTGAACCCACGGGCCAAACGGTCCAGTCCCAAACGATCCCAAAAGCCCACTGTGGGCTGGTCCTCTATGGTGAGACCACGAGCCCGGGCCCGTTTAGCCGGGCCTGGGCCGGTTCAAATGGGCCCAACGGCTATTTTTCAAAAAAAAAAAATTTAAAAAAAGGCCAACGGTTAGAAGTTTAAAAACTAGCCGTTGGCCTGCCAATTTAGCCGTTTGGCTTTCTAAAAAATAGCCATTTGGCCCCCAAACTTTGTTTTAACTCCAAACTTTTTATAATTATACTTTTATCCTTTTCTCAACTATAAATACCCCCTCATTCTTTCATTTTTACTCACAAAATCATCAATCTCTCTCAATCTCTCTCTAATTTTCTTCTATAATTGCTTACTTTATTATTGCAATTTGTGAAAAATTGTGAAGTTGGTGAATTGAAGTATTCAAGTCTTCAAGTCTTCAACGATATACAATTTTCAAGAAGTTGTTCGTCAATTCGGTAAACTCGTTCCAACTCTTAAGTTTTAATATTATAGTTTTGTTTGTTTTAGTTTGTATAATTATAATTAATATGGCCTTTTCTTTGAAAAAAATATTTGGTGGTAAGGGAAAATCTAAAATTGGTGAATCTAGTCGCCAAGCTACTACCCCTCCCCCGGCTCCCTGACCCAGACCTGTTATCCGTCCTCCTCCACCTATTATTCTTGATAGTGATAACCCTTGTTTTCAATTTAGCGATAGTCAATTTTGCCATGATGTTGCACCAGGTCAACAATTAAATGATGAATATATGAATGCTCTTTATCCTAATGAAACTATTGATGAAAATGATGAGGAAAATGAAGATTTAGATGAAACGCAACCGGATTTAGATGATACACCTACTAGTCCTGTTGTTAACCCAACTGATAATAATCCAAATGATGCCCCGCCTGACCCTCCTGTAGTAACCCCTACTTTTAATAGATAACGTTCTAAACGCCCCGAAACATCTCTTGTTTGGAACTTTTTTACTCAACTAAGAGAACAAAATAAGGCTAAGTGTAAAACTTGTGGGTCTTTGTTGGCTCATAAATTTACTGGAGACCGTAGCGGTACGGGTACTTTGACTAGACACATGAAGACACACCCTAGAGATAAAGCTAGATATCTTCAAATGAAAGTGCAACTAGAGGGGAGAAGTGTAGGTACCGAGGATAACCCTAGTACCGGGTCAAATCTAGTTCAACTGGGAATTAACACTGTTACCGGTGGCATTTTAAATTACGATCCAAATAAAGATCGTGAAGAATTAGCAAATGGTTACTGTTATGTGCTTACCCTATAGTTTTCCTTCTAACCCTCACTTTGTGCATTATATTAGAAAAGTTTTTAATCCTACTCATAAAGGATGGCCTCGCGCAACCGTAAAGAGTGATATTTATAAATATAAACATGAATATGAATAATATTTACGGTATTTATTTACTTATATAGATTTTCGCATTGCTATTACCACTGATATTGGTAGAAGTGGTAATGATTGTGATTATCTTACTATAACCACTCATTGGATTGATGAAGAATGGAAAATGCAAAAATGCATTATTGCGTATAGACTAATTAATTCACGTCACACAGATAAGTTTTCCCTATCCCCCCTATTTATGGGGTTGCTGCCATGTTAAATCCTACCATGAAATTAGGAGGTCCTCACTTTTGGTATTCAAATATTTATAGGGCTTTAGATCTTCCAAATGAGGAATTAGCTACACTTGCAGATGCAAAAGCCTCAATTAAAATAAATGCTCAAACAATTTATAATTCTTATCAACAAACCTTAGATAATGCTAGACCAAATGTTCCAACTCCTACTTCGTCTAGTTCGCAATCATCTAAAAGAACTGCGGGCCTAAAAGCACTTAGTTCTTGGACGGAGTTCAGGGGTTATCAAGGTGATAATATTGGTGATACTTCACATCTAAATGAGCTTCAAGTTTATTTGTCGCAGGGCCTTGAAAAAGAGAATCCAGACGGCACCTTTGATCTTTTGGAATGGTGGAAGGCCAGAGAAAAACACTTTCCGATTCTTTCAAGGATGGCTCGAGATATTTTATGTGTTCAGGCTTCAACATTGGCATCAGAGAGCGCTTTCAGTCAAGCGAGATTTCAAATAGGTGATCATAGAGCGTCTATGAGGGAGAGCTTGGAAAAATCAGTACTCTTCGGAGATTGGATCCGTTCGGAAAGAAGAAATTTTGGACTTGCTGAATCACAACCGGAGATAGACGAAGCTTATGAAGAAATGCTAGCGGAACTTGCGGAGGATGCTGCTTCGCCCGGAAGCGGTGATGAACAAGCTTCTTTTCCGCCACCACCAACGGAAATTCCTCCTAACCTTGAAGGATTTATGAAATTTGTTAGAGATAATATGTAGACTAATATGTAACTTGTATTTTGGCACATCTTCATTAGTTTTTTTTCCTTTTAATGGTGGTATTAGCACCTTGTTGTGCTCATTCCATTAGGGGGAGGAAGACTAAGAAATATATTGTCATTTTTGTTAATGTCGTAATAATAAAAATTATAAGGCATTCCCATGAATATTTCTTTGCAATTTTTTTGTGTGTTTAAATTTGACTCTTTAGAAGATTTAAGTCACAATTCTATAATATATTTACAATAAATTATATAAGGCTATATATATATATATATTGCCTTTTATATATATATATATATATATATATATATATATATATATATATATATATATATATATAGGCTATATATATAAGGCAATATATATATACTCTACATATACTATATATATATATACAAGAAAATACCTTAGATAAAAAAAAATAAAATAAAAATAGCCCGGAACACTTAGGCCCGTTTAGGCCCGTAGACCCGGCCTATTTAGCCCGGGACCATGTGGTCTTAGGCCCACAGTGGGCCGGTTCCACCCATTAGGCCCGTGAAGCCCGAGACCGTTTGGCCCGGGACCGCCAAAGCACAGCCCGCCAAAGCCTAGGACCGTAAGGACCGACCCGTTTGGCCCATTTAGGCCCGGGCCCAGCCTAGAAAGCAGCCTTACCAAGGGGAGAGAATTGGGTAGTAAGGATATGATGACTACGCGCTACGTGTAGCCCCTCATTGAGGAGTGATTACCGGGCATTGTGTGGGTATGATCCTGTAGGCTAACCAACCTAGGACCCCTCTCTCCCAACTCTCGTTGTTTAAAAAAATTTACTTTTCTTTATATGTGTGCAACTCATTCAAACCTTTTCCCTTGTTTCATTACTTGAATCATACATGTGCTTAGGATGTCAAAATATGCCTTTACTTGCAAGTACGTGTCAAAACTGTTTATTTGACTAATTCACATAGTTTAAGTTCGGCCGGGACCCACCGTTGTGGACCGCGATGGGTGCCTAACACCTTCCCCTCAAGGTTATTTCGAGCCCTTACCCTAAATCTCTGGTGATGCAAACTAGTCCATGAGTTAATTGCTCAAGGTGCGCTAACGCACCATAATCCGTTAGGTGGCGACTCTTCAAATACCCAATTCCCAAAAGGAAAAGAGTTGTTCCCCCATGAAATGTAGAAACCCGGACGTTCTCCGTGAAGAGGAAAAAAGGGGGCGCGACATGGACTATAGTCACCATTCCATTTTCTGAAAAAATAGATACAAGGAGTGTAAAAAATAGAAGCAGAACATTTCATTATAACTAGCCATTACCTGATTTTATCTTCATTGATAGCCAACAGATTCATAACATTTATTCTAATCTCCTCGAGCATCTTGATAATTGGCATATGTCTAGCTTCAAGAATTCATGCATTAAACGACTCGGTGAAATTATTGTCGACCATCATATTTTTATATTGAGTGTCAAAATATGCTCTACACCAAGACTGTGGAGGATAATGCAGGAGATCTTTGGCAGTAGAAGCATCTTCATCCTCACATAGCTCTCCCATCTTTTTTAGTTGATCTTTGAAATCTTCTTCATAAGTGCTCCAAGCACACCACCACAATAACTTCTTCATATGTCCACTTCTCCACTTCTTCTGCCAATTTGCCTCAATATGTCTTACACAATACCTATGATGAGCTTCGGGAAGTATGTTCTGCACAACATCAATTAACCCCTATGATAAAACAGGAACAAACAGTCATAAAAGGTAAAATATATAAGTGTAAACAAGAGAATAATAGAAATCAGAGATGAAAGTTGTAGTGTTTACCTTTTGCATATCTGAGATGAAAGTCACTCATTGTCCATCATTTAGCTCCAGAGAAAGCTTCAAACACTCTAAAAACCAACCCTAAGTCCTGGCAGTTTCCTTGTCTACCACAGCCCATGCATGAGGATAAAATTGGTTCATACAATCTTGACCAATAGCCACTAACAACTGACCCTTAAATCTACCCTTAAGAAAGGTACCATCCAGCCCAATTAGTGGTCTCAAGCCACTTTTCCACCCATTTTTCAATGTATTGAAGCATATGTACATCCTTAAGAACTTTATTTTCCCTTCTTCAAGAGCATTCTTTGATAAATTGATCACAACATCACTGCCCGAATTTGATTGTCTTACTTTTTGTCCATATGCCTCGAGTTTGTTATAGTTATCAACAAAACTGCCCTCCAACTTCTTAAGAGCCAAACCTATGGCCCTTTTGAACTTACTTTTGGACACATATAAATCAAAACCACTCTCCAACTCAGCTTTCATATCCTGTAACTTGTACTTAGGATTGTACTGCACCTTTCTCTTAAAAAATTGGGCCAAAGTATTCTGATCAGCCCTAGCATTTTTTAAACATGGATCACATGTATGTTCATCTTTCAATGTTTTGATTCTAATGGTAGGACACTTCTTATCATTTGAAATATACTGTCTAAAAGGGTAGCCTTCAGCACACTTGTAACTAGCCCTAGACGTATCAGTTTTGAGCAACTTCAACCCTTTTTTATTTACTAGTGCATAGAAGTTTACTGCCCTTCTAGCTTCTACAATATCCTTAAATGTCATACCTAGCTCTAACTCCTTAAAATGTTCCAACTTATCAGTTACAACCATCTTCTTTTCTTTGATAATACCATCAAGTTCTATAGAATCATCCTCAAAACAATCTGATTCATCAAAGTCACTTCCCCCAAGACTATGTTCGCGTTCAAAAGCTACATCAATGTCTATAGAATATGTCTCTGTATGATGAGTAATATTTTGAGCAAATACCTTTAAGTCAGACTCATCAACAGTAAAGAAATTAATCACCTTGAAGTCTTTAGAAAACAAGCACTGAAGAGTCTTCACACCTTCGTCATCAGTTACCAAGTAGTACCTCCCCGAAGGTCCAGTCACTAAAAGTTGTTCGACAGAGCTAAACCCTAACTTTTTTGTAAACTCTTCACAAATAAAATCATATTTAACAAGATAAGAGACATAACCAGACAAAGTGTGCACCGACATCTTGTTATATACTATCTCGGGGGAAAAGACCCAGTTACCCCCATAGTGAAACACCAAGTCCACTTTATCAATCATCTTCAACTGGCTTCACATGTAAAGGTATAGAAAAAGGGACAAAGAAAGGACCACATCAGTATATATAAAGTCATATTCAAAACACAGACAAAAAAAAATAGCAAATACTATCCAAGATTATCAAATTAATGTATTAAAATACAAAAAGACCCAACCAACCGACAAAAACATCAAAATTATCAAATTAACTGACTGTATTTTGTTCTTTAGTGTATTAAAATACAAAAAGATATCAGAAACAATATCACTCTTTAATGGATTCTAACAAAGCATAGCTTGTCCCTACATATGAAACACACAAGAAAAATTTCGAAATCCCATATATAACACACAAAGAAAGAATAAAGTAGTCATACCTTAGTCAGAAGATGAAAAACCCTAGCTTGTCATACTCAAAGATGGAAAACCCTAGTTGGGATTTAGAAAGAAGAGGACAGAAGGAAGAGGCGGCCCTAGTTGGGATTAAGTTTGGGTCTTTTAGAATTAGGGGTGGGTCGGGTCGGGTCAGTAGATTTAGGTCGGGTTCGGTATTAGTTAATTTTAAAAAAAAAATGCTGGTTCGGTCTAATAAGGGCATGGATGCACAACTATTGGACGGTTTGGACATATTTGGGCCAAACTAATAACGACGGGCATATTTGTCCTAATTCACATAGTTCACTGGCATATTTGGACCTTTTCCGTTTACTATATTACTTCCTATAGCTATGTTTTTATATTCCACTATATTTTAGTGGTTATTAGCTAGTTGTAGCTACCATTTACTATATTACTTCCTATAGCTATGTTTTTAGATTTTTTAGAGTGTATTCGATGCATTTAAGCTATTGTATTCATGAATACAGTAGCATTTCTAGGCGTGAAAATGGGGAATTACAGCTAGACAAATTTTGTATTCGAGTGTATTCGGCTGCATTCATGGCGTGAAACATGAGATTACAGCTGGACAGATTATTGTATTCGACTGTATTCACGGCGTGAAACAGGGGATTATACTATTTTTAAATGGAAAGTGAATCAATTAACATAATAGACTCCTAATATAACTCAACAAACTCAATTACAACACACAAATTTTGAATTTTCAGTTATAAAAAAGATTTTCAACCGAAAAATACCCCAAAAACATAGCAATCTTCAGAGAAATTATATAATATATCTGAATACATAAATTATATTAATTAAAAAAAACATATGAATACATTCATGAAATATAGCGAGATAGTGAATACAATAAACTACATAGAATACAGCGGGATACATTGAAACACAATGAAAAAAAAGACAATGAATATAATAAAATGCATAGAATACAGCGAGATACATTGAAATACAATGAAAAAAAAGACAATGAATACAATGAAATACAGCGAGATACATTGAAATACATTGAAATATATTAACAGAAAATACAAGTTCCATTACAGCGAGAAAATATCTGTCAAAATCTTTCCTTCTTCCATTGCTTTTTCAAGAGCAATTGTCTGTAAATAGCGACAATTTTATAGTCTTTTGTTTGGCTGTGTCGACTTTGTGTACTCTTTTAGCAAATAAGAACATTAGACCTGAGAGAGAAATTTCACGACTTCTTCTCCTTCTCCAGCGAGATTGAAATTCGATGTGAATGAGATTGGGAGGCTGAGGGCGGCGGTATCAATGAATAACGGCTGCGGTCGTCCAGGTCCCCTTTCCGCTGATGAAAAAGATGCATCTGGTGACTGTCATATGGAAATAGCACCTGTGATTGTTGATCAGAACATTTCTATTCAGGGTAATCCCGACACAGCAAGCAACGTTGAGCAAGCAGCAATTGCTGAAGCAAATAGCGAGTGTTGTAGGCATGTGGAAGCATGTGCAATGAATAGTGGTTCAACCATCAAAGAGGGTTATGGTGCTGAGACAGCAGCTCTTGCAAGGAATCAGGAAATAATTGTAGAAACAGTGGAATTGGGAAAAGTTGGAATAGGAAAAATTTAAGGGGATATGAGAGAGAAAAATAATACAAAGCATATTTTATGGCTTAAGGATAGGAGGTGATCATAAATAGATATTTGGCTATAAAAAAATCAAAAGACAGCTATGGAATATAATTTTTTAAAGGGTATTATTTAAAAAGGTATCAACCTTTGCTATAGGAGGTAACTAATTTTTTTTTTTTTTTTGTGTGTGTGTGTGAAAGTTGGTAGTTGGCAACATTAATCATCCAGTTAGCGAATACGCAGCTTAGCTGTTAATCATGTATTTGTCTTCATTGGTTTATGGTTTATCTCAATTCTTCCTAGTGAGCATAAACGTTCATCTAAAAATAATGCATAAAATATTATCACATGAATTCATGAAGTTTTTCAAGTAAGCATAAAATATACTCCTAACTTTTACGAGCTTAACAAACAAGAGAATTAAGTGGTCCAAACATTAAGGAAACATTCTTCTCAAAAGGAGCACACTTCTGATAAATTAAAGCATCAAGATATTGAAAGAAGAACGACTTTACAATAAAGCATATAGCACTCTGAAAAATAGAACACAATCATAACATGGGTCAAAGAAACCAATTGAACCTATGATCAAGACTTTGGAATCATAATTAGTTCCTTCAACAACAAGTTGGAGTTGTTACTTAAATTTTAGGCAGTCTCGCATTCAATTTGCTTGTCATTAGTTTGGATGAAGTAAAATTTAGACAGTACAACATTGAATTTGGTTTGTCATTGGTGTGATATGTGAATTAAGGGGGTAAGAGAGAAAAATAAAATTGAGGCAGTTTTGCATTCAAAGCGTGAAATGTAAAAGAGGGTAAAAGGATAGAGTAAACTTTAGGCAGTCTCACATTCAATTTAGTTACTAGTTTTAGGGTACGCGCTTTGTGCGTGTACTAAAGGTGTCTAACGGATGGGCTGGGCCGGGCTGGGTAGGAAAATTTAGGAACCGTACGGGTTGCGGTCCGGGCCGGTTACGGGTTGGGGCTTACCGGGTTTAACGGGTTCGGGTTCTTCCGGTAAAAAATGAACCGTAAGGGTTACGGGTACAAGGGGCCGGGCCGGGCTGGGCCGGTGATAACTAGTGATTTTGATACATTTTATACTCCTTCTTGCTTATGTTTTGATTGAAAATTCGTACAAAATAGTCCCAAAAGGCTCACAAGTTGTGCTTGATTGCAGGTTTGATCAACAAAGTGACAAGATGTCAAAGATCATATCAAAGGGAGTGAAACTTGCACAAGCACTAAGACAAGACAAAGCTCAGGCAGAACAAGGCCAGTGCGGTCGCACTACATTCTGTGCGGTCCGCACTGGGGAGATTCAGAGAGCATGATTTCCAGGCAAAGAGGCAGTGCGGCCGCACTACCATTTTGTGCGGTCCGCACTGAGATCAACGCGGCCGCAGTCCATTCTCTGCGGTCCGCAGTAAGGAGAATCAGAGAGTTGCAATTTCCCAGTGTCAAGCAAATGCGGTCCGCGGTCCATTTAATGCGGACCGCACTAGAAGCCTCCGCGGTCGCAGTCCATTCTATGCGGTCCGCAATGCCCAGGTTCAGAGAGCAGCTTTGTCAAGTCCAAAGCCTAGTACGCACCGCAGTCCATTTTGTGCGGTCCGCACTAATCCCGCAGGGGTATTTTTGTCCAGAATTATCAGCTTAGTATAAATAGCTTCTTTTCCATTTTAGGTCAAGCAGATAGATTTGACTGGTAGCTACGCTCGTGGCTTCGGTTTTCTTAATCATTTTGGTCAATTTTATCTTCATTTTAACATTGAATCTTCTATTTTATCTGAGCAATTAATTAATATGAATTGTTCTTCATCTATTTCTTATTTTTCTTCTTTAATTGTGAGTAGCTAGACCCATAAGCTAGGCTTGTGGCTCAACCCTAGTGTGGGTAATTGATGGGTCTTTTATTTTAGGGCTTGATTGACTATGGGTGTTTGATATTTGGGCTAATTCCATGTTTAATTGTTAAATTAGTGGTTGCAAACACTAGTTTGTGTCAATGTTTTAAAAGGCGGGGGCGTGAGGCGAGGCGTTTTACCTCTCACGAGGCGAGGCGTAAGCCCTGAGACATGGGGCGTAAGTCCCACGGATCTTTAAATTTTACTAATTTCAAGAATTTTAAGATAGTATAAAATAAAGAATAATTATAAAAATTACATCAAAATCACAAAATTATAACAAATAATCTATTTAAAATATTTACAAATTATAATTCGACTATGAATAATACGAAAAGTATGACATATATCATAATATGCAAATTAGTTGCAATGTCGTTACTCGTTACAACTCAAACATCAAAAGTAATGTATCCGATATGAAATCTTATACTGTATGTATCTCTTAAGGAGTAATAAATCTTGAAAGAATTTCAATATTATAATTTAATATTTTACTTAAAATACTACTTTTATTTAATATGCTTTCTATTCGAAAGAGAATTNTCGACGAGTGTTGGAACAATTTGGATAGAGTGTTGGCCCGGTGTGAAGACACCAATCTTGTGCTAAATTGGGAAAAATGCCACTTCATGGTTGATGAGGGCATAGTGTTGGGTCATAAAATTTCAAGGAATGGTATTGAGGTTGACAAAGCCAAAATTGAGGTGATTTCAAGACTTCCTCCCCCCACTTCTGTCAAGGGGGTTAGAAGTTTTCTTGGGCATGCGGGATTCTACCGGCGATTTATCAAGGACTTTTCGAAGGTAGTGAATCCCCTGTGCAAGCTGCTAGAAAAGGATGCAAAGTTCGTGTTTGATGAGGGATGTATGCAGGCATTTGAACTTCTCAAGAAAAAGTTGACCACCACCCCGATCATTACCGCACCCAATTGGAGCTTGCCTTTCGAGCTTATGTGCAACGTGAGTGATGTTGCGGTTGGGGCAGTTTTGGGCCAAAGAGTGAACAAAATGTTTCATCCAGTGTACTATGCGAGC